GCTAGCCAATCCCTAAAAAACAAATGCCAAATGTCTTCTTTGATATAATGAGAGCAACTAAGAACAGAGCAGGGAGGAAGAGCAGGAGGAAAACATGAACATTAAACAGAGTCATGAGGTGGGAGGGTAAGGGAGACAAAAGGGAAATTGCATGGAAATGGAAGGAGACCCTCATTGTTATACAAAATTACATTTAAGGGGTTTTAAGTGGAATGGGAAAAAATAAGGAGAGAAATGAATTACAGTAGATGGGGTAGAGAGAGAAGATGGGAGGGGAGGAGAGGAGGGATAGTAGAGGATAGGAAAGGTAGCAGAATACAACAGTTACTATTATGGCATTATGTAAAAATGTGGATGTGTAACCAATGTGATTCTGCAATCTTTGTAATGTTTTGAATAACCAATAAAATAAAATAAAAAATAAAATTCAAGAAAAAAAAAAAAGAAAGAATAGCATTTAAAAAAAAATTATCTAGGGATAAACATGGGTGAATTCCTTTACTGAGTAGAGGGAAATATTTTCTAAGTATTTCTCCTAAAAATTTCTTTTAAAACTCCAGGTATAAACTGGGTGCAGTGGTGCATGCCTATAATTCTAGTGGCTCAGGAGGCTGAGGCAAAAAAAGCGCTTGGGGGTGTTGCTCAGTAGTTAAGCACACCTAGGTTCAAACCCCAATACAAAAAAAAAAAAAATTAAAAAAAACCTTCAGCTATATTAAAAAGTAAAAAAAAAAAAAAAAAAAAGATTATCAGCAACATATATTTATTTTTAAACCTAATTCTTAAAAATCAAGGGAACAATAAGTTCAAGAATAAAATACTTATGATTATAAATTAATTCATAAATTTACAGCAACAAACTTAACTGTATATCACATATCCCATAACCCATCCGATACCATTTCTGGAAATTCTTCCTACACAACAGAACCCTATAAAACAACATTAAGTCCAAAGTTGTTCATTATAACATTACATAGTATGAAACAAGAAAATTTCAGAAAAACCATTCTACTGTAGGCTGGTAAAATAAAACAAGGAAATAGAATATAAATATAAGTCCATGCAATTATAAAAAGGAATGAATTCTCTCTGACTGACCAGTTTATGGAAAAACTTCCTAATAGTTAAGTGAAGTAAAATCAAGTGTACAACAATGTATATTTGTTACTTAGTATGAGAAAAATAAAATATATATTTTCATATCCTTGGAAGGACATAGAGGAAAAACTATTTCATTATTTATGGTGACAAGTGAACACATGGAAGAAAGTAAGTTTTCTCATCACATAAATTTTTACATTTATTTCTGAAGGATACAAATGTATTATTCATTCAAAATATAAAATTTTAAAAACATTAAAAAGAGAGAAACATAAATCTTTTTTCAAAATTTTCCTGCTTCCTTTTCTTTAGTTTTGGTACTTGTTTTCAACCTACCTCCTAGGGGATGGAGATCTAGAAGACTTCCTTTTTATGTTTTTTGACATTCTTGGTGATCTGGAAGAACTCCTACTCCTTCTCCTCCGCCTTTCCCTAAAAGCCAAAAATGTCATTTTAAAACACAATTGAAATAAAGAGAAATTCAAAAACACAAAAGCAAAAGGGTCCTTGGTTGAACTCTCAATTGAGTAGTACTCCTCATAAGCCATTTTGTTTATTATAGTTTACTACTCTTCAGCCCCTTTAAAGGCCAGTTTAAACTCAAATACTTTATAAACATGTTCTACCACATAATTTTAGGGTAAGTCAAATTATGAGCCATAAATTTTATAGAGGACAAAAACTTTACCCCTAAGATTTAATATCAGAAATGATGGAGAGCCTCCATAACCATGTGGTATATCTGAACAATAATTTCTTGAATAGAAAAAATATTGATGGTTCAGTCTCTCAAATGTCTTTCTCGGAATCTAAAACACATTTTGCCTACTAGATTCTTTATCATGCATCTAGCTCCTTGCTGCCCCACTGTGGATTATTTCGTAACAAAACAACAGGTTCTTCAAGAACTGAAGGATAAATTAGTCTGCAAAATGTAAACAAATTAGTCTCAAGCATTAGAATGTCTCCAAAAAAGTATATAAATCACTATAAAGAAATTGCTTTTCCTCTCCAACCTCCATTTACTATTGCTGTTTTATTAATTTAAAACTAAGTACACAGGTTGCTTAAATATAGGAAAAATAGTTAAAATCTAGGATTTAAATATGGCCAACTAAGAAATACACATATTAAGTATTTATTATTAAAATTATTTTGCTTAACATTAGTAAATGATGTATACATAAAATTACTTTTTATATGAGTGATCCACTTAGAAACAAAGAACTTCACCATGTCCATGATCCAAGGGAAAAAACAATGTATTTATTAAATGTCAATGAATCTAATGATACCCTTTCTTAAGGAGCACTGATAATCAGAAACCACAGAGATGAAATAAATCAATCCTCTGGATTTCAATTTCTCTTTACCATCTTATATTTTTCATTTGTAAAATTAATGCTTACATTATTAGTGGTACATACGGCAGATATTTTAGACAACCAAAAAAGCTCAAGAGCTTTGAGAACATTAAGTATCATTCAACCCAAGTCTGGTTTGATTGGTTTTGTTGTTGTTTTGGTACTGGGATTGAACCAAGAGGTGCTCTACCACTGAGCTACATCCTCAGCTTTTTATTTTTTTATTTTAAGACAGGATCTCAATAAAAGCTGCTGAGGCTGACCTCAAACGTGCAATCCTCCTGCCTCAGCTTTTCAAGTCGCTTAAGGAATTCTAGGCATGAGCCACCATTCCCGGTCCAAGTCTGGTTTTATTCAACTAGAAATAAAAATAAATAACTCACACCTTACACAGTTGCTATAAAGATATAGAATAATACCTATAAAGTTCATAGAGTCTGACACATAGTAGGTACTCAATAAATATCTTCTTCCTTTTTAAAAAATGTCTTTTGGTGCTAGGGATTAAGCCCAGGGTCTCATACATGCTAGGCAAGCTCTCTAACACTGAATTACACCCCCAGCCCTCTTCTTCCTATTCTTGGTTTCATCTTTATTGACAATAACTTTAAAGCATTAAAAGTTTTAAAAGTCAAATTTTTCTGGAAAAAAAATATATACAGATTAGGAGACGTTCGAAAAGTCTTTTAACAATTGGTTCAATGTGCTGGAAATGTAACAATATTTCTTTTTATTTTGATCCCCATTTTAATATATATACAATTGCTTTCAACTTTATGGTTCTCAGATACATTTTAAAAGCAGGTAATAAATTACAGAATTCTCAAATTTGCCAAGCACAATGGAGTAATTCCAACTACTCATGAATGTGAGGCAGGAGGATCACAAATTCAAGGCCAGCCTAGGCAACTTAGATGCTGTTTAAAAAAATAAAAACTAAAAAAGGGTAGGGATCTAACTCAGTGGTAAAGCACTCCTGGGTACCACCCCAGTACCACCCCACCACACATACACAAAATAAAATGCTAAAACAATCTCTACAAAGAAGGAAAAGAGTTAAAAGATACTAAAATACACAGAAGACGGCTAATTTCCTATAGTTTCCCAGTTCCTCACATTTTACAACAATGATAATAATAGTTTTCTCATGAGCCTACTCTAAGGACTAAGTAAAGGAAGACAAAAAAGTGAGACATAATACATAGCACATGGGAAAACACCCAATAAATGCCTACAATTATCTCTAAATATTAATCAGAGGCTAATATTAAGAGAAAACTACAAAAACATTTTAAAAATAGGAAATAATATTCTTTAATTGTTTTCTATGAAAACCATCTTTAAAATTTGCTAAAAATACATAAAATATTTTTAAGAGATAGGTTAACACAAATCAGAAACTTCCAGTTATTCACAATTACGGTATTATTTAGAATAATGGATTTGGGTTTAAATAACCTTGAGGAAGGTTCTCATTTTGCAGCTGTTTCTATGGCAACCTGCTGCCGCCTGGTGGCAGTGTACTTATTAATAAATTGAGAACTTTTTTTTTGGACAGTGCTAAGGGGAAAAAAACTAACCCTTAAAATTAACATATAAAGAATTCAAATTTAAATGTCATGCACTCAACATGAGAGGTAAAAAACTTAACTCACATGATGGAAAGAACTAACAATCATTTTGCATATTAAAAATTCCCATTACATTCTTAAGAAAGGCGCCTAAGAGGTCAATTCTTCTATTTCTTTTTTTTTTTTAATATTTTTTAAATTGTAGATGGACATGATATCTTTATTTTGATTTATTTTTATGTAGTACTAAGGATCGAATCCAGTGCCTCACGTGTATTAGGCAAGTGCTCTACCACTGAGGCACAACTCCAACTCCTCTATTTCGTAATACCTTCCCTGATATTCTACCTTCTAAGAAAATAACAACACTGATAATAATTAGCTGGGCTAAAAATAGTATACTTCGAAATTTAGCTGAAACTAAATAATCTTGCAGAATATCATCTCTTCCTCCTCACAGGCTCAACACTGTGGCAATTCACAGAGAAAACATTTACTTTCCAATTACAAGAAAATGTTCTGCCCTTACTGTACTGGTTCTACTTGTATACAATAACCTTTCCCCCTAAGTTAAACACTTATGTTTTAATTTGTTATCAGTAAACCCTTGAGCAAAAAATTTAGACATTATCAAACCTGCTGGAACTACGAGATCTTCTTGATGCATTATAACTTCTGGGTGGTGTTCGGGATTTTTTATCCTTCTTTCTTTTTTCATCTATTTCTTTGGATCTGTCCTTTTCTCGTTCTTTCTCTTTGTCCTGGTCCTTTTCTTTGTCTTTGTCTCGCTCCTTTTCATGCTCTTTTTCTCTGTCTCTCTCTTTTTCCTTTTCTTTGTCCTTTTCCCGGTCCTTTTCTCGATCTTTGTCCCGGTCTTTGTTTTTCCCCCGTTCCTTTTCTTTTTCACGCTCTTTTTCCCTTTCTCTCTCTTTTTCCCTTTCCTTTTCTCTATCCTTCTCTTTTACTCTTTCCTTTTCCTTGATCTTTTCTCGAGTATCTTTTCTCTTGTCCCTTGAAAAATAAGCAAAAATAAATAAATGTATAACTAAAAAAATTCTACCCCCCCAAAAAAGACATCCCTCCCTCTTTCCTCAACAATTACCAACACAAAACAATTTACAATGGCTCAAGACATTATATATGCATTTCTATATAATCCAGTGTACATGAAGCTGCAAAATGAAGTGATTACCAGGCTGAGTTGAGTAGTTTGGAAACCTCATGAGTCAGTGGCAATCAATATTAATCCTAGATTACTAAAACAATCAGAAAAAGAGTTTTATTTCTCATCCAAAGCCTAAACCACAGCAGAAAAGCCAATAATAAAACCAATGAAAAGATTATCCCTAATTTTTCTAAAACTCACCGAGAACGTGAACGACTCCTTGACTTCCGTCTTTCCCTTGATTTAGAGCGTTTTTTATGTGGGCTCTTAGATCTACGTCTATCTTTCTGTCTTGAACGGGATCTGTTATGGGATCTACTCCTGAAGAAATAAATTATTAAAAATCAAAACTTATTGTTAGAATTTCATTTTTTAAAAAAAGTCTTTCAAAATAAGAGAATTTAAAAATCCATCTTAACTCTATTTTTCAACTTTTAAAAATTCTTTCTTATATAATGCTTTGGTTACATTAACAGAAAGAGTTTACTTATTTGAAACTTTACCAGATATTTCACTGTCTAGAACACAAGTTGATATTTTCCGGCATGGCTTTCTTTAGCAACAAATTATTACATACCATGCCACAAATTAACACAGAAAATTTTAAGAAGATTTTTCCCATCGTCCAAGTTTTCACACCAAAAACTGTCTTTCACTTGACTGTTACCTGGTTATGACACCTTGATGGGGAGTAGTGGTTATATGGTTTACTTCTACAAATTGTTGTGTACTATTTATCATAATAAACATTAAGAGAATATGTACAAGGAAACAAACTGGAGAGTGGATGTGACAGGAAAATAAAAATTATTTTGCATGAGGTAAAACTACATAAAATCAAAATATTAGATTTGTGTTGCCTCTGTGTTAAAGCTGTAAACTATGACCACAGCTATTAAAAGAATGGAATTAAATTAAATTAATGGAATTCTTCCAAGGAAAAGTACCTGTTATTTCAATTTTGATTAGTACCTCTTTCCCCACTGAAATAACTGTATTTTTAAATACTTTTTTTCCCACAATGAGCTAATTCAGGCACTATTTATTAAAATACAACAAAACAGATGCACTCAACTTAAAATAACAAAGTGATAAGACTCACCAGCTTTGAAGTCTGACAATCTGGCTCTAAAGCACAACTCTGCCACACACTAGCTGGCCGAGCACTAGCAAGTCACTAACCTCTCTAACTCTGCATTTCTTCATCTATAAAGTGGAATCAGAATCACACCTATTTACCTATCATGAGGATTAATTAGATGATGTATGTAAAACTGACTTGCAGTCTCTGGCACAGAGTAAACACTTATCTCAATTCTTGCTATTATTATAGCCATCATAAAAAATAACAGTTTAACATAAATGTAAACTTTAAATCTTTATTTATTCCAAGGAGGTCAAATGAACTTCCACAAGTACACTGTACATAATATACACAAATATCTATAAGAGAAATATATAGTTAAATGGTCATGCTTGGGGCATGCTATAAAACCAGAAACACCTCCAGTTCCGTTACTAATATATTTTTCAGTTAGTCCAATTGTTTTGGATTTTTTTCCCCCTCAGCACTGGAGATTGAGCCCAGTGGTACTCTACCACCAAGCTACCTCCACAGCCCATTTTGTGTTTGAGATGTGGTCTTGCTAAAAATGTTGAGTCAGCCTCAAACTCACAATCCTCCTGCCTCAGCTTCCTAGGTAGCTGGGATTATAGGTATGCACCATCCTCACCATGCTCTTACAGCTAATTTTTAACTGCTCATCTATTATACAGCTGTAAAGATAATGCACTTGAGGAAAGAAAATAATTTTTAAAAATGCATCTGTCTTTATAACATTTTTTTAATACAATAAGATAATTCTGAGTTTGCTGAAGTATTTACCACTAAAAACCTAAGAGACATGAAGGTCAAGTAGCAGGTATTAAGGTAGATTTAAAAGTTAGAGCATTCTTAGTCCATTTATAGATGTTCACATTGTTTCTATGTACTCAGTAAAAAAGCTTAAGACTATTCTAATTAACCTTGCTAAAAATATAACTGATCACTTGATTTCTTATCCTGTAGGTTCTGAGAGTTCACGTCACTGCTGAGGAGTAATTATTATACTTTAATTTTGACATTAAACCTTTTCAGGTCTATCCCACCCTCTAGTACGTTTTTTAATTAAGAACACTAAAACATTCAAGAGTAGGTCTAATCCAACCAAAGACAAATACTTATTAGCAGTTTAATTTTTTAAATAATTTACAAAATTATATTTTAAAATTAAATTGTAAATAAATAGCAACTTACCCTCACGCTGTATCAAAGTTCCTTTGTAAATCAGTTGTTTTCCATTAAAACATTACAAAATGTCTTATAGTTCCTATGCTGGTCTGTAAAGGTTACTTAACTTAAAAACATAACAATTCTTGGGCTAGGGTTATGGCTCAGCAGTTGAGTACTTGCCTTGTATGTGTGAGGCACTGGGTTCAATCCTCAACACCACATAAAAATAAATGAACAAAATAAAGGTATCTGTTCATCTACAACTAAAAAAAAAAATTAAAAAAAAAACAATTCTAGTACTACCTACGTTTTCTAATGTTATCTATATAAATAAAAAATGTAAAAAGGTATACTCATACGTTTGCTGGTGGGACTGCAAACTGGTGCAACCACTATGGAAAGCAGTATGGAGATTCCACAGAAAACTTGGTTGGAACCCCCGTTTCACACAGCTATCCCACTCCTCGGTTTATACCCAAAGCAGCATAATGCAGTGGCACAGCAACATGAATGTTTATTGCAGCTCAATTCACAAGAGCAAAACTATGGAACCAACCCAGGTGCCCTTTAATAGATGAAGGGATAAAGAAAATGTGGTATATATACACAATGGACTATGACTCAGCCTTAAAGAAGAATGAAATTAAGGCATTTGCCTGCAAATGGATGGATCTGGAGAATATCATATTAAGCAAAATAAGCCAATCCCAAAGAACCAAAGGCGGAATGCTTTCTCTAATATACAAATGCCAATTCACAATAAGAGAGGTGGGGTGGGGGGTTAGGGAAGAATAGAGGCACTTTGGATTAGACAGAGGGGAGTGAGGGGAGGGGAAGGGGTATGAAAGATAGTAAAATGAATCAGACATTATTACCCTATGTACATATGTGACTACACAACCAGTATGATTCTACATGATGTACAACCAGAAAAATAAGAAATTATACTCTATTTATGTATGATGTGTCAAAATGCATTCTATTGTCATGTCTAACTAATTAGAATTTTTTTTAAAAGTATCAAAATTTGAACAAAGTAGAAACACTTTTCCCAAGTCCTAGCTAGGGATATAATGACAAGAAACCCATTCCTCCTATTTACAATAATACAGGGAAGAAACAGAGAAAGGGGAGATATTGGGGGTTAAGCACAACTCTCACTTAAGTTGACACATCATAATTGTACATATCTGTGGGGTACTGCGTGACAATTCAATACATGTACAAAATGTGCAGTGATCAAATCAGCTTAATTTAGCATTTCCATCTCCTTAAACATTAATCATTTATTTGTTCTGGGAATGTATAAACGCCTCTCTTTGTAAAATATGTACTGAACTGTTAGGAACTACAATCATTCTACCATGTTATAGAACATGAGCAGTATTTTGGCATGTATTATCCAACTTCCTCCCATATCCCTCCACCATTTAATAACCAGATGTCTGCTTTTATGAAAGCAAATTTAAGCTCCTTAATGTGAGTAGTATTTGTCTTTCTATGCCTTGGAAAGCATGGTTCTAGAAGCATCTGAAGATGGTGGAAAAGAACAGGTGGGCCCATAAGCAAAACCTGAGGATACCAGCTCCCACTGGCAGAGGAGGGAAAGTCAATAAAAACCTTCTCTGACTCCTGGGGATTAAGGGGACTTCTTCCAACTTCCAAGTCAACATCCTAAAGTCATATGTTTTTCAATAAGATGTTTTCCATTCCTTTAAAAAGAATAGAGAACTTGTCCTCTTTTGTATGTTTATGAGGTTTGTCAAAGCTTTGCGTGTCTACATGAACATGTGAAAGTAGGATATGCTGACCACACACACACACACACACACACACACACACACACACAGCAAGAGCTACTAATTTCCACTGCTACACAGACAGATCTACAAGAAAATAACTCTCATGAATATCAAGAACAAGAATTCACAAACTTTATAGACTGGATGATACCCTTGGAGGGGGGACTAATTAAATACATAGTACTTAAAATTAAAACCTTACAGTGAACAATGGATAAAGTGGATTGCTCAATTATTTGCCCAATTTCAAAAAGCACATATAGCTTCACATAGATTATCAAGGAAGCCACTCGATGTTAATCATGGAGGTTAGCTTGCTCTCATATCAACCCCTCAAAATAAGATTCTATTTTTCCTCAATACAGTTATTAATTTTCACACAATTTTATATTTCCTTGCTATTCTTTATCCTCACCCGATCCTGTCAACACACAGGAATGTCCACTCTAGCACCACTGCTACTCCAACTCCACCTTCTGCTGCATTGCTTTATTTCTTACACATGAAAACAACTCTTTTTACTTGATTCTGAATTTGCCTAACTACATCATCTTGTTGACACTGAAACAATATTTCAAAGAGATTTTGCAAACTGATTTAGTAGAGACCTATATAACACTAAAAGGGCTAGAAGTATGAGTATTAGAAACAAAAAAAGAATAGTCTACTTTCCTTTATCATTCACTGAATCTCTGTGATCATCATAGAAAAATTCAACTGGGCATGCTGGTGAGACTCAACACACTGGTTTCTTTCCTTTCTTCCCCTCAATCCCTCTGCCTTCTCTAATACTGCCACATCATACACACACACTTTCCCTCCTTCCTGAAGACATAAACATCATGACATGCAATTAGGATCAAATATATATATATTTTGAAATGTTTTTAAGGTGTGGAGGGGACTTTTTGAAATGGGAAAGTGTATATACACATTTCAAAAAGTTCCCTCCGTGTGTGTGTGTGTGTGTGTGTGTGTGTGTATATATATATATATACACACAAATATATATACACTTTCCCATTTCAAAAAGTCCCACCTACATGTGTGTGTGTGTACATATATATATATATATATACATAGACATATATATATACACTTTCCCATTTCAAAAAGTCCCCTCCACACCTTAAAAACAATAAAATATATCACTTTAGAGATGATTCTTAAGGTACTTGCAGTCAAGATGGAATTCCGAGTTTATATTTTGAGATTTCCTTTCCAAACACAAAGCAATAACAGACAAGAGAAAACAAAATGCCAAAAGTATAATCAAAAATAGGAAAAAAACAAACAGTGCTTCAGGACAAGACAACTTCCAAAATGAGACTGCAAATTACTCTGGGGTTTCAGCTCCAAAAGTGGTCAGAGGAGGGCTCTTATCACCACGAGTACCAAAAACTTAAGGTGCTCCATTTGAAACATGGTACTTGGAGACAGGAAATTGCTTGAAACCAAGATCTGGGGTGTTGGTCCCCAGACCTGGAGTGGACAGGGAAAAGAAAACAAAAAAGCCGCAACTTGAACAATATTTTCAGCATAACCACTAAATATGTTCCCTTTTTTCAAAAGAACAAAAAGTTTCTGCCACTTCTGTGTAAAGAATACACTTAGAAATCTATCAAGTTAGCATCTTTATATAGAAAACCAACTTCTTAAATGGAAAATTAGCTTAACTATTAAAACTTAACTAGTCTTATATTTATTAATAATCATTAAAACTTTCTAAATTCTGGCAATTTGATAAAAATCCATAAAATCTTAACTATTTTAAATAAGAAACTGAAAAAAATAAAATATGAAAGTAGCAATTCTCACCTGTGTTTTGACTGTGATCTTTTCCTTCTAGAATGGGATTTTGAGCTAGACCTGGACTTTGAGCGAGTGTGGGAACGAGATCGACCGCCTTTTCTTTCATTGCTCTTTCCAGACTCTGGGAGGAAAAAACCACTTTGCAGTGTAAGCTCAGAACAATTAAAGATCCCAGTTAATAATTAGGCACAAGTGGAATGTACCACATATAGTGCAAGGGGCCTACTCTCTGTACATCCTCCTCCTGTGCAATTATCCTTCAGAAACATCCAAGAAAGTCATTGCATAAACTCGTTGAGTGCAGCCACCCTGCAGCAGTACATATAAACCAGATGATTATAAACAGCTGTTCGTAATATTTTGTTGCTGCCATAACGTACGATTAAAACATGTCTGTAATTCCTATGACAGTGATTTTAAGTCCTTTCTGTTTATTTTGCTAGAATCGAAGTTTAAATTCCAAGTGTTAAATTTAGAAAATCCACTCAAAGGTTAAACACCTAGACATTTTTAGACTGGATTTTAAAATCATTTTATTAAGCAACACAAAATTTGAATAAGTGTTCCTTCACCCTGCTAAAACAGTTTTCTGTATTTTTTCTAAATCATGGGCTCTCTTTTCTAGGTTTAAAATTAGAACTTTTATAGCAAACCCTGCTTAACATTTTGAATATATTTACTCTTTTCTTTTTAGCTTCATAATAACACTTATACTTTCCTTCAGGAAATCATTCTGAACACTGGTTTTCCTATTAAAAAATAAAGAGCTAATAAACTCAGGCTAATGTGCCTTGATACAGCACTATGGGAAAAAAGACAAAATTTGTGTTAAGTTGTTCTTTGAGTAAGCCACTTACTATTTTTTGAGTTTCAGTCTTCTTATTGGTAAAAATGAAGGGACTGAACAATGTAATTATTTCTAAAATTCCTTCAGGTTCTAAGATTCTATGATCTTTAAGCGATGACCTATGTAACAACGCTATGGCCTTACCTGGTTCAATAGCTGCTGAGATAAATGACTGAGCCTCTCGTACCCGCTTCATTACTTCTTCTAACTCCTTAGCTGCAGCCTGAGGTGTCATCTCAGGGGGTTTTACTATTGCATTGTTGGAGTGATTTATTCTAAATTAAAAATATTAGCATATCACAAATACACACCATATTTTATAAAACACTAAACAAATGTTTATATGATAACTTACTGATGAGTCTAAGGACTTCTAAGAAGCACATTAAAATGATATAGCTAAATACAAAATAAACAAAAACAACCTCAAAAAAGTTCAATTCATCTCTCATCCTCACCTTCAGTCACCTCTTGCCAAAAAAGCTATAAGCAAGGAAAAACAAAAATACTAAACCCTAGCTGACTTCTTTTAATACAGAATAAATATTTTCCAAATGGTTTAGAATTATAAACACTGATACCAATGTTAAATCATTTCTACTCTTACATTAGGAGATTTTGTTGATAAACTGTGCTCCCTTGTAGGATAAAGGGAAAGCTGCACCATTTTAGTCAACCCTATTCCTTCCTTGGTTGAGTCACTCTGACACCTTTGAATGTGGGAGGTGTCTGATAAAACTTCCCCTATTAGGTGAGAATGGCTTCTCTGATGCACACAACGAATGGGATTTGTCTGCCTCTATTTATCCCTTTTCCACACTGAGATAATTAGATCCCACTAAAAACCATTATTTATCCTTCAACAGTTAAACCCTGATCAAACTGTATAACTAGAACAATCACCTATTAAATCAGACAAAACTGTGTTTGACTTAATAATCTAACTGAAACAGAATATCTGATCTTAAGTATCTGAAAGGCTACATCAATTTTTTACAAACAAGGATATGAGCAAACCTTAAAAATCCAATGTCTCATTTAAAACATTTCTGGGTACTTGATATTACTTTCTTCCTGGGATTTAGAATTTACTGAAATTCATATTACCAGAAGTAGAGTAGTACAGCCCACATGTTAAATTGCCCATTAGTCTAGAGTCATATTATAAAACCAATAAAATAATTTTAAAACTGATAAAGACTTAGAACTTTTATGTGGGGTATGTAAATAATGTTAAGTAAACTAGACCTTAAAAATAGAAAATGAGAAATATGATTCCAAATACAACTTTAGGATTTTAAAGGCTAAAATGGCATGTATTTCATTTATACTTAACACAGTCTTCCTTTCCACAAATTGCCAATTACTATTAAAAAGAAAAAAAAAAAGCCTTAATTACATCAAATATACTTTAAATTTTTTTAAATCATTAAAATTTCTTGTTTAGGATTTCTTACTTCAGTGGCCTGTCTCCAAACATAACTCCATTAAAAGCAAGGGCCCTTGGTACAGAATTTTGGTCTGCAAATTCCACAAAAGCAAACCGAGTTGGCTGAGTCTCATCACCTGCCATCCGCACAAACTTCACTTCTCCAACTTGTTTAAAAAATTCAAGTAGTTGATCAGCTGTTGTTGTCTGAGGAAACAAAGTGACAGTTTTAACAGAGCTATTATTTTATGATTTTTTATTTATATTCGGTGCTGAGACTCAAACCCAGTGCCTCACACACGCTAGGCAAGTGCTCTACCACTGAGTCACAATCTCAGCCCAATCAATATGATTTTTAAGAGGGGAAAAAAGAACTATTGCCCTCTGTTTCTTCTTAAATTAGTTACCTGGGAATTCAAATTTCCAACATAGACTGTTCTCCTAATTTCATCAATTTTAGAAGGATCTACATTTCCCATAAGTGGTGGCTGTGGTATCTCTCCAAGTGTTGCAATATTGGGGTCTAGTGCTGCTGCTGGTATAGCTCCCAAACTGCTAAGTGAAACACCAAGCTGTAAGAAGACAAAACAAACAAACAAAAAAAACCAAGAGAACATAATTTCTATTAGTATTGCAAATTACCATTCTCTAATCTTGACAAGAATGGATCAACTCAAAAAGACTAGAAGGGGACTAAAGACTCCTAACTTTCTGAATTATTAAGACAGGGAAATCACATTAATTTTGAACATAACTGAAATATAACCAATTTCTTAACTATCTGGGAATTTTAACTACCTTTAAACTTAATACTAAAAATGAATAGTTGGTTCTCAATAGTCAAAGTAGTTATACCCTATAGAAAGTTTCTATAAATAATGAATTATTACTGGATTATTGAACCATGTTCCTAAGGAAAATAAAAGATTAAGTTCCTAGGAGCCTCTGACCATAACACACTCATCATCACTAATATATAATTTTGTTTTATATGTTTGTTTGAAGGCACCTGAGTTAATGTGTTGATTCATTAATACTGATCTCATGGGGCTGGGGATGTAGCTCAGTGGTAGAGCGCTTGTCTCACACATATGAGGCACCGGATTCAATCCTCAGCACCACAAGTAAATAGATATATTTTAAGAGAGAGAAAGAGAAAGAGACTAAACTCATGATTAGCAACTCAACAAATCAGAAACTTATCTAACACACATTTTCTTCATAGGGTATATCATAATTTACCTAAGCATTTACTATTTAGGACTTGGCTTCGGGACCTATCTAAAAAGGCACACAAAATTTTTAAATGTGGCACTAAAAAATTGCAAAAGTATGCTTGTTTATAGCATGAGTGCCAAAACAAAAAAGCAGTGTCACTTTGCTTGACATAATCTGGGAATATGTACATCAGGCAACTCCTATTTCTCATCACCTTGTATATCTGAAAATGACCACAAAAGCACTGCAAATATGATTTTGAGGTTTCAAAAAAACTACTTAGTAAGTAAATTCACAAATAATAAGGATTAACTGTATGCTGGTCATTAAAAAACACTGTGTAAGTTCCTAATCAACAATTATCACAGCATCGCATTTTGCTGAGTTATTAACTTAATTCTCATACCAACCTTAAGAGGTAGGCATTACTATTATGTCAATTTCACAGGTCTTTAAAAAAAAAACCAGAAACTTGGAGAAATTAATTTGCCAAAAATTTCTAGGCTACCAAGTGGTAAAGGCAGGGTCCCAGTATGGATAACCTCAAATTGAAACAGAAAAATTTACCTAAGCAAAAATCTAAAATAGTAAGTTCTTGCTTATCCTATGGTTAAAGCAAAACGACTACATTTTGTTCTTGGGGGGGGGGGTAGGGGGCAGTAGTAATGGGGACTAAAACCAAGGGTGCTCTAGCTCTACCATTGCCCTATCTCACCAGTCCATTTTGAATTTCATTTTGAAACAGAATTTCACTAATTGCTAAGGCTGGCCTCAAGCTTGTGACATACTCCTGGCTTCACACTCCTCAGTGGCTAGGAATACAAATAACTGTCTAATCTCTTTATCCAACAGATTATACAGTTCAATATTCACTCCTTTCATAAGAAGGTACTTACTTATGTATAGTACAATACTTACAGTAGTCAAGGGATTAGGAGTTGGTATGGGAAGCAATCCTGCACCAGGCATCAGACTTGTCATAGTTGGAGCAGGAGCCAATAAAGAGAGTGCTTTCGATTCCTCTGGGATTTTACCTGCAGAGGCAAGTTCCAAACATTACCTAGAGCAGAAACACCACACCAACTTTACACTATGATTTTACAATTACCCTTGCACTTAAAAAATAATAATAATAAATGAATCTATCTATCAGATCCGTATAAAGAAATAAATAAGAACTTAAGTCTTTCCTTTTATCCTGGCTCTACTAGGAAAAATAAAAGTGAGCAAAACTTCAAAGACTAACAATCTCATTAATGGAATATTATTTTAAAAATTGAATAATGTAGACAATTATTTAACACTTTGAGCTATGGGTCACCTGTACTGGAAACTTAATGTTCATGAACCAAACGATATCAAGCATGGACGCTTTCCCAGGACGGTGTTTTCGCGGTGATCGAAAGTTGTGTTACACATGACAACCGTTCGTGTTGGCTGCATCACTAATAGCACACAGAACATCAGATACAGAAAAGAAGAACATTTTTTAAAGTTTAATCCCCAGAAATGGCAAATAACCAAATTAGTCAAAAAAAAAGAAAAAGAAAAAACAAATATGTGCGAATTGAAATTTGTTCCTTAATGAGTGCCCCTATTCTGTTTACTGAAACTATCTACTTGTGATGCAAACAATTGTGATAACCCTCCAACAGATTCAAGTTCAAATAAACAGAGAAAACATAAACCTACTTCATGTAATCAGCTTCAATTTAAAAGGAAGCCTATACCCATTCTGTTAATAAGGCATCTCACCAACAACGATCAATGATGCCTAAAAAGAATCCAGTTTCAAAGAATATGCCTTGGAAAAAATTATAATAATCACTAAAACTTTGTGAGAATTAATGACAAAAATTTTTTTTCCCTAGTCTCAGGAACCTTCTTAAAATGTAACTTTTAGAACCAATTTACATATATACTTATCTGAAGAGAAATGATTAATGCTTAAATGTCTTGCTTATAAACATTTTAAATGGTTAATAACAATAGTAACACTAAAATAATCTTAAAAACTAAAAAAAAGCCTACAACCTAAAAAAATGAAAAAAATTAAAGTACATCATTTGCCATGTAACTGCTGATTTTAATCAAATAATTTTTATTAAGATTGCAACTTTCACACATTTTTATCTTAGCAAAAAAAAATTCTGTAAAAGTTGACTAAGTGTAGATACATTTAGAACTAGTCATACTGTAGTTGGCTAAGTGTTTCCGTTAAGAACTTGGTCAAAAATGTTTTAAAATAGTGTACAAAATCATACTAAGCTGAAATATAATATTATGTAGTAAATTTTCCTGGTTTCAGTGGTAAAAATCCTATTTAAAACAACCATGTATAGAGATCAATCTCTGAACGTTATTATCTGAATATATCTCTAAACATGGATGGAATTCAAGATGAAACTTAAAACTTGCTTTAAATATTAATTATGTCTTATCTACAGGAACAGAATAAAAGGTACATTGTAGTAGCTTTAAGAACTCTGCAGCATTTAAATTTATATTACTTTGCCTAATTTCAAAAAGTTACTTTTATTATTTCAATGTAAATTCTGACAGAATAGATTGTTTAACATGCATAAAGATAAACAAAAGGTAGGTCTTACTGAAGACATTAAATAACAACCTATTTTTGTATGTGTTTAGTTACTAAATACTTATTAACACATGTATTTTTGTACACCCACATTGATACTATACTATTTACACTGATATCACACTCACTTTATCTGTTACGTAGACTTTTTAAAAAAAAGGTTTATAAAATCTGAATATCCTTAATAAAACTGGGGTCCTGAGGTGAAAACTCTATGCTTCAGTACCCTAAAATTTATACACCTAAAAAAAAAAAAAAAGATGATTTCCAAGTTTAATATTACTTGTCAATTAATAAGCCAAACTATCCATAAAAACAGTATAGAAAAATTATATAAACAAAAAGGAGATTAAATGGGCCAAAAGTTGATCACTTAGTATTAGAAAGTCTCCTTTGGCTTCAAAGTCAGACTATCATTGCCTTTCATGAGAGTAATCTAGAACTCTAAGCTCAATTATACCTGTCTTATTCTATTAAAGGTATTTTAAGAAAAAGTTCCATTGCTCAATTTCTGAAATAAAATCCTATCAAATTTATCCTCTAAATAATATCAGAGTATATAAAAGTATTTAAACAATCAGATTTAGCATTTTCCCCAAACTATATTCCTTAGTAATGGAGAGAAAAATAGTATCTCTCATATTACTTGAATCCTAACCTCAGAAGCCATTTAGAAACTGGTAACCTCTGAAGAATTTTCAACAAAAAATTCAAGCAAACAGAAAAACACGCACACAAATAAATAATCAATATTTTCTCAAATATCCTTTCCCCACATAGGCAACAAAGTCTTCATAAGACAAGGAAATAAATTGTATAATGAACAATCATAAAATCAAAGACCTTCCCCATACCAATGCACTGTAAGAAACTTGCTTATTTTCCTTGATGATTTTGTATGCCTAGAATTCTAGAGGGACGGATGAATATTAAAAGCCATCCATTCATTTTTATGAGATAAAGTCTTGGAGTGGGGAGGGAAACTACAAAAATGTTACACTAAGATCAGGAAGTGTTCCTAAGATCCTTATAAGTGTTTTAATGTTAAGTACAAAATGTACCTGATCAATCTATAAACACCAATTAAGACTCACACTAGCTTCTCAACACTATATTTTAATTTACTGCATGAAAAATTTATTCTAAGGTTGAGCTGTGTTAATTATCTCCCAATATAATTTGCAACACGTTATGAACCTTAATGGAATACCATTTACAAAGAACTGGAAAACCAGCTCACAAGTTAAAGTGAGAGAGATTTAACAAAACAAAAACAAAAACAAAAACAAAAAAAAGGGACAAAATAAAGAAAAAGAAATGAAATTAAAGTAAAACAATAAAAAACAGAGACAGGGCGTCCATCTTCTGCGGTTCAGACTCCGATCTCATTTCCCCAATGAAGGTTTCACTTGACGGCAGGTTTAGTGGCATGGCAAACAATGCCTAACTCAGGCAAGTGTAACAGGTCTGCCTTGGCCAGTCTAGTCATCTAATAATGCACAAATATCACATAGAGAAAACATACAAAACCAAATTAATAGTCAAAATCCATCTACCAGAAAATGTGGACATAAAGTTATGACTGATGATTAGGCTGACACCTTTGTTAATGTTTGACCTTATCTTTCGTAAGTGTTAACATTTATAAAAAGAAATCTGAAATGCACGCAACAACAAAAAGAGATCATATTTAGACAAGTATAATGAAAGTATATTTTATTTTGAAATGGCATGTTTTATTAACAATAGTTAATGCTTAGTAAGTATGTACCTGTTACACATCAAACATTACTTTTACAGATTAGGATTTCTCATGTCACTATCTGAACTAAAAAAACAGCAAACTAAAAACCTTTTTAAAAAATTTTTTCTGATTCCTCTCATTTACATCATGACTATTTCTAGGACATCAAGGAAAGAATGCACTCGGTGATGTGCAGAGCAGACTGCTCGCCACACCACAGCACATCTATTCTTAATAGAACTTCCTCCACTGTAATGCTTTCTTTGGGTTTATTTCAAACCCACTATGCTCTCTTTTAGTACAATAATGCATTATTTCTTTCCTGGCAGTGCATGATCAGACTTTTAGCAGCTCAATATGAAATTCTTCAGGTTCCATAAATTCATCTGTGTTGTATTTAATATAACTAATGAAAAATGATATCTAAAGGTTTTTCTAATATGTTCAGAAATATTTACTTACATATAACTAAATTACTATGAAAGTATGCTTAAATTTTCATGTGTGAAATAGCAAAGCTTTGTCTCTAAATGGTAATATTAAAAATACTTACAAATTATTAAAAAAAAACCTGCATTTATTCATCTCTATGAAGTAAAACAAACAGTAAAAGGGATATCTACATGCCCATAACCTTGACCATTTACAACAAGTCAGGGCTTATCTGATACATGAAACATTCTATGGAAATATAGCCAGGTTCCAACAAAGCAACACTGCTAAAAAATTCTATCCAATTCAATGGGATCTGACATAATAAAAGATCCTGTGCTGTTGGTGGTTTAATTTTCTGATATTATATTCCAGTTTAGTAAACTTTCTACTTGATTTTTCTTTTATTGAGGTTTCTTGGAATGAAATTTCAATATAAACTATATAGTATTAAACCATTAATCAGCTTCATTCCTAATTCATTTTCCAATTTGGGGCTCACTGTACTTCTATAGAACTCCAGATAAAGACATATATAAATAGATAATTAACTTTAATCAATTTTTATTTCCCTTACACCCAAACATGATGAAGACCCTTTCAAATTTATCTGAAAAAAAGCCAGAATGTCCTATTCTGGGACTTCAAAAATACCAGCCTGGTACTCACTGTATTTGACTAAAATGTTTTGACTTTCCAGAACAGACATTCTGAAATAAGAATAAAACCCTGAAAATGCAGCAAACTGCTTATATACATTAAATTGTTTTAATATTAACCTGGTTACTATAAGAGGTGTTAAAATTACACATGAAAGCCCATTAAGTTGTTTCTTGGGAACTTTAATGTTGTAAAATATGTTATCATCATCCACCAGGAATTATCTACTTATAAGGGCATTTAAATTTATAATAACCCAATTCTAAAATCCATGTACACATGCCATACTGCTCAAGTTAATTATACACCAAAATTCAACGTAGTCTATTATATATAAATGGTTCTGTAAAAAAGTAAGTTACTAAAAAATATTAGTAATAATTAGCTTTTAAAGCAGTCATAAAAATTTAACAAATACACATGTAAGACCCTTGGGTCCTATTCCTATTTATTTCCTTGACGGATGCTTTGAAAAATTGCTTACCATGGCTTTTTCTTCAATTACCTCCAAAAAGAACCAATTTAAATAAGTAAATTCCAGTTGCATAGCACACTATACACTGAAGATGAAACAATCATCTCACAGTAAAAATAAAGTTATCTCAAAAGAATACTTGAAGATACTAATTAAGAATATTTTTCCTATAAAGATCACTTAACCTCAATTGTGCAAAATGTATACATTTCTTATTTGTAATATTATTAGTACTATATACACAGGTAGATGTTTACTTTGTACATTTAAAGTCCAAAAAATTTCCCATACCCATTTCTATTTTTTAAATATAAAAAGCTCTCTTCACAATCTGTAAATTTCCTAAAGAAAACTAAAGCAAACAAGAAGCCAAATACTTTATGCAGTTGTAAAATCTTAAACATACATGTGTAATATATTAACCGCTTTAATTTACCATTAGGTAAAAATTCTTTTCTTCTCCAAATTTCATTCTTGCTTTCTCACACACACACACATCAGAGTACTGTCTGCTTGCTAATTTGTAGGAAGCCAAAAGGCTACAGAAACAGAACAGAAATTAAAATAATAGAAAAAAATGTGAGATACTAACCTTCTGCACAAGGAACAACTATCAGAGCTCTGTCAATAAAAACCGTGTTAGTTAGATGCTGGGCCACACCAACACTTGATGGGTCACGAAACTTAACATAACATACTTTGGAGGAAAAAGCAAGAGGAGCGTTGCTGCAAGATAAAAACAAAAACAATTGGACTAATAAATATTTGCTTAGTTTTGTCATTTTCACTTAAAACCTTTCTTACATGTTTTCGTACTCTTACCTAATCAAGACTTGGGAAATTTTTGTTGCAAGTGATCATTAAAACACTAAATGGTGGTATGTCTCACCAGAAAGAGGCAATCTAGGCAGACCTATAGCCTTATATATAAAACTTAAAACTCAATCAGTCCTGAATCTCAGTGAAATGTAAAATCAATTGATGCAACCACTGTGTCATCCTACATAGGCAAAAATCCCTTTATGAAAGCTCCACTTCTTAAAAATTCAAATTCTCTAACCATCCCAATCCTTTTTAAATGTGATTCCCCAGCATTTACATCACTAAAAACATGGTTGGGGTATGTAGCTCAGTGGTAGAGAACTTGCCAAGTGCAAGTCCCTGGGTTCATCCTCAACACAAAAAGAAAAAGTCATTAAAACTTGATGGTAGTCTTAGAAACAAAAAATTAAATTAAGGTTTTTATGTATATACCAGCTATATACCAGCTAGTTTCAGGACAGATGGCAATGTGATTTTCTAGACCTTCCCCCAAAAAAATTATAAACAAAATTTTACACATTTTGCTGTAAAGTTACTACCCTCGTGGACATTTCGTCAACATATCCATAATTATTTTTCATCAAAATCTACAATTGTCTGTAGCAGGAAAAAAGTACCTAAATATATACCTAATCTATAATATAAATACACACTCATTTGAAAGCTTTTTACACTAGAAAGAAAAGATATCATGTGAAAACATCATTTATAACTGGAATAATAACAGTAATTTACTGTGGGTTACTAAACAGTTCTAATAAGTTAGCCACATCTCTGAACTAGAAAATGGCAAAGTCAAGATTTAAAGTAATCATGTAAATCCAAATCTCATGAAATCTTAATCATTCAACCAATCAAGAATTTTAAAATTCTGGAGATCTAAAGGTATAGCTCAGTGGTAGAGTCAGAACATACCCAGCATGGTTTCAATCCCCAGTATACATCTCCCCACAAAAACACCCCATCATTTTCAGTTACTATTTAGTCATTCCACAAATACTAGTCATTTTAAAGTTCAAAAATCTTTCTCTGTAATCCCTCACAAAAAGCAACAAATCCATCTTTAAACAATGTAGAATAACCACATTAATAACGGTTAAATTTACATACATGCTATTAAGCCAAACAAATAAAATGTATTTGCATTTAAAACTATATTTATCATTAACATACTGCTAGGGCTAATTTAGTTTTTTTTTTTTTTTAAAAACTACCTCTTTTCTAATCAACTCAATTTATTTCCTCTGCCTAAGATCATCCAAATCCAGGATTCATACCAATCCTCACCAAAAATCCCCCTTTACCCACTATCTTAGTCAAAGCATTTCATATATTGCCTTAGAGGTAAATATGTCCATATTCATGCTTATCCACCATGTTTATGTTACCAAATCTCCAATTTGAGCTTCTTCTGAGCTCTAGACACCCAGATCCAAGGGCTGACAATACATTTTCATCCACCCCTAAGTCATTAAATCCAAATCATTACCCATTCTCTTTTTCTTACAAAGCCTGCCCTCTGTCTGTATTTCATATCTCAATTAAAAATGTCTTCACATTTCTTCCCAAGTCTGTAATTTGGAAGTTACAGTTATTAGTGCTATTTACCAAATATTTCCAAAGCTCCCTCTGAGTACGTGGTAAATTCCATTTCTCTATTCCTTGAACAAAGGTGTGGCCCTGTAACTTGTTTTGGTCAATTAAACATGAGCAGAACTAATGTGTCTAACTTGTAAAAGTTTTAAAAGAGCCAACCACTGGTTGGCTCTTTTTCTCTGACACAGTGACTAGTTATGTTCAAGAGATAGATGAAGGGTGGATTCATCAGCTTCATCCCACAAAGCCCCCAATGAGTACAATTTCAACCCCACCAATTTAGCATAAGAAATAATCTGAGATTTGGTTTGTTTCTAAAACCCTGCCTATCCTGACTGAGAAATTGCCCTTGATCTTTTCATCTTCTCATCCAATAAATTCTGCTGAGTCTACCTCCCGACTATTGTCACATTAATTCTTTCATAATTCTCATTACCAAGCCTTAATTCAGCACTTGTCACCTAAATTACTATAATGGTTCCTAACCAACCACACTGCATCCAATTTCAATCCCTTATTGCTGTTTTTCCACAAAAACAGACCCTTCTATACCCTAAATTGCATTGTGTCACTCCACAGATTACATTTCCTCAAAGGCACCCTTCTGTTCTCACTTCATCATCTAAGTATACCCAAAACTCCAGGCTCAGAAATACCTATGGTTCTAAGAAAACATCCTAAACATCTGGGTCTTTGTACCTGCTGTTCCATCAAGCTATAATGTCCCAACTTGGCTCAAGTGTCATGTCTTCTGGTAAGTCATCTTAAAATACCTCCTGTATGTACTATCAGTGCAGCTTCAGCACAGACATCATCACAATTTCCTTTGAAAACCCTTAGAAGAGCCTATTGGCTTATCTAGCCACAACTGATCAAAACCATCACAAAAGCCCATTTCACTTGCTGACCAACAACCTATAATTTGGGTAGTCAGGCTTGACTAAATGAACTTGAAACGCTTAGATCTTCTGTTAGGCTGAAAAGTGACAGCCAGATGATGAAGGAATACAGAACAGATCTGCAAAGAAACTGAGTAGATATACAGAAACATACCTGTCAATAAAGCCTCTTCAGAGAAAGAGGCAATCACCTTGATTGTTGAACTACCTTTCTGGTTCCCAGGCCCTTTTCCCAAGAGGCCTCTCTGTTTTATAGTCATTATCAACTCTCTGTCTGTTCTTAAGGTAGATTGTTGGGTAACACTGTTTCTGTCCTTTGCAACCAAAAAAATAAAATCTATGATTACAATGACCTACTAAAAATACCCTAGCAATTGCAACTCTTTTAGTCCTGAAATCTTCACAAACCTGACAAACCATCACTTTAATTTCATTACCTAAACTGAAAAACCTTTTGTGAAAGAATGAAAACCAAATTACCATCATTGAAAATTAAAAACACACTGCCAACTACCCCTAGTTGAAACCCAACTTCATTTTAAATATCCAAAGAAACAGGAAATCTGAGACTGATTTGCACAACTACTGCATGTGAAGACATGACACCAAGATCTGAGAAACTTAGGAATTGGTTAAAAATATTTTGTCTATTTTGTTCTAAAAACCATTATTAAGCATGAAAGTGCTTTAAGCATTTTCTTAATGTTCACCTCCAGCTACCTCTTTGAAATACAGTAAAGCCCAACTTACACTGTTTTGTAAAAATGTAAATACCTAAGATTTTCAAGAGAGGCAGTAACACTTTATATTAAATATAATACTAACATATGATAGTGGCAAGCCTCCACAGAGATGACAAATCTCAGCAAGCAAATGTGTATGTATTTATAAATCAGCATGTTTCCAAACCTTGTATTTAGATCTTTCTCTCTAATGTATCTAAAACCAATAAATTCACTCTTTCTTTTTCCTGTGCTGGGCAATTAAGCCCAGGGCCTCATAACGTGCAAGACAAGCACCCTACCATTGAGCCACATCTCCAGTCCCTAGATTTACTTAAACAGGATTGTCATTTTTAATTTTGACAGTTTTAATTATAAAAGCAGGTTACATAATTCAACTAGTCTAAACATAAGACTCCACGGGAAGTAGCAATACCCAAAATTAGTAGAACTTGAACATTAGTTTTCTCTTCTTTCATTCAACATGATGATGGCACATTTTCAAAAGCCAAGACTGTATATATCCTACATTTTACATCAATGTACACTGGACATTAGTATCATCCTTTAGAGAAAATATAGAAAAGAATATAATAAACATGGGCAAAATCGAGTTTTATGTATGGAAATATTAATTGATGCATCATTTTATCATAGGGCTTTCTCTACAGGGCTCCAATGATACTTTAGACAGCACAATTTCTCCTTATAGAAGGCTTTCTTGTGAACTACTAACACTGCCAGTAAGACCACTAATAATCACTGCTGACAATCAAAAACACCACTAAATGATGCAGCTAAAATATACCAATATATTTCATGATAGAATTTCCAAACACATATTAGTCTTTAAAAATTACTATAAACAAAGTACGGGGATATGAAAAATGCTATTACAGCTGAAGTGAAAAAAGTTTATAGAATTGTATCAATCCTTTGATAATACATTATAATAAACACATATTAAAAGACTGGAGGGTAATATATGCAAATGGAGGGGTTGTGATGGATGGTAGGATCACAGGTATTGTTTCTTTTTCTATATTTTCAACAAAATAGTTATACTGATAATATTAATTTTTTAACTAAATAAGCTTAAATAAGTAGTTGATAGATTTTACCTTTCATTCTTGGAACTTTTGAAGACCAGAGAAGTGAAGGAAACCAGCAAGCAAAAAAAACAACACAGGTAAAATCTCCAGTGTCAGAAATCAGAACAGGATTACCCTTTGGGGGTTAGTCACAGGGGACCTGCTAGGGGCTTACACTCCTGACTGTATGCTAGTTACCTGGGCATGTTTACTCTGTGACACTTCATCAAGCTGTACAATCACAATCTGTTCATTTTTCTGTCTGCATATTACACCTCAATAAAAAGTTTGCTGAAAAAACAAAAATGCCTTACGTGTATAAATAGTTTTAATAAGCTATGAGATTCACTCTGCAAAAATTAAAATAGTAACTGGATATTTAACCACCTGACAGCACACAAAAAATGACAAGTTACAAATAAATGTAATATTTATAATAAACACTTATAAAAATTT